GTGTGTGTGTGTGTGTGTGTGTGTGTGTGTGTGTGTGTGTGTGTGTGTGTGTGAGAGGCTGCATGCTCATTGATGTGATTGATGTGTCTTGACGGTCATTTACATGCAGCACTCGACGACGTCGCCGGCTCTCCCCGATGTGTTCTCGCCCGAATCGGACATCAAGAGCCTTGGCGGGGACCGTCGGGCGACCTCCACGCCAAAACAGGACGGCGATGGGCGTGTGAGGGCGTGGCTGGGAAGCCAAGGCGCTCTCCGTCCTTCCTGCTGTAAAGCCGTGCAGACGGACGCTCAGGTTTGCGTTCAAAGTTGTTCTATTTCCGAGTTGGCGCACGACATCGATTCCGAGGTCAGCGTCGACAGAAGCTCCCAACGATAGCCTTCGATGGCCACATACGTCGAACGCGAGCGAGATGAAAGATCTTCCAACAATCACGCTACGTTGGTTTCCAGTGGGTTTCGGGATCCAAAGTTAGCTTTGAAGATTCGTTTTCCAAGTTGGCTTTGAATGTTGAACTTGAGGTCGCCAATTTGTTTCATGACAGCACGTTTGCTAATCAGCTACTGGCTTTGCAGTTAGCAAACGTAGCACAAGTTAAAATGCTGCTTTGCAACATGTGGCAGGCAAGACCAACCAAAATTCAGACTTTGGTTGTGGTCGTAAAGCGTCTCGGACGGCCACTCGTTGAGAATGTCACGCTACGCGGGCTACCGTGCGTCAAGACAACTCCCAAATCCGCTACGAGACACACGGCCATCGGCTGAAAAATCGCACCGCATTTGGGTAGCCTGACGTCTGCCTCACGTGTGAGATGAGACTGTTCGCTTCCAACAATAGTTTTTCCAGTTAGCCTCCAATGTTACTCTGCCGTTAGCTTTAAATGGTAGCTTCCGACGTGACCCCCAACATGAGTGCCTGTTAGCTTCCGAGCTGTTAAGTTGTGGCACAGAACTTCTTTTGTTTTTTGTTTTAAGTTCAATTTCAACCTTTTTTTTGTTTCCAATGTTGCTTTCGATGTTAGCTTCCTTGGCTGCATTTTGGTTTTGTGAGCGTGGCCCTCACCTTTTTGTGTTCAGTGTTCGGCCATGGCCAAATGGGATCCCGCAGATCTTTTCACTCACGTCCCGAGTTGCCATGGCGATGACCGCACGGGCGCCTCTCATGAGAGCTCGCCGTCCCGTGACACGAGTTCCTCGACGAGGGACCGACGCCAGGCGCGGGTGAGGCAGTTGGGTCACAACGTGGGGAGATCGAGGTCAAATTAAAAAAGACATTGATTTTTTTCTTTCAGACTCCAGAAGAGGAGGACGAAAGGTGACTGTCCTGCAAATGCGCGCGCGCACACACACACACACACACACACACACACACACACACACACACACACACACACACACACTTTGTGACCAAATGTCCACCTTTCACACGAATTGGAAGCAAAGCCCAGAATTTCACACAGCTGTTGTCAAAATAGGCCCCTTTCACACAAATTTCCCATGAATTTTGGGGTTTGTGAAAAGATGTTGAGCTTTGTGCGCGCTGTGACTGAAGCTGCAGGGGCTCCGGGATCGCGCCTTGGGTCGCGCCGCGCCCCGGCGTCAAGTGCCTCCTGCTGGCCGCCGCCGTGTCGCTGCTGGCCTGTCTCTTCTGGAGCTTCTTGGAGGCGCCGTGCGGCCGCAGCGTCGTCGGCCCCTCGGGCAGCCTGCACCTGAGATACGTCAACGGGCCCCCGCCCACTTGAGGCCGCGCGCCGCATCCCATCATGCCGCGATGACACAGATGCCGATCGATTGGGCCTTGAGTTGTTTTGGTTTGGTTTTTTTTTACATAGCAAAGGCTGTGACTCCATCGTGAAGATTTGGGAATCCCCGCAAGGAGGTTGTCGCATGAAAAGTCCAACTAAACGTCCGTGTTGAATATGGGTGGCCGGCGCATTTGTAGCCCCCTCGTATTTTTGTGATCGATAGGCATCCCTTCCGACAAAGGTTCACGTCCCCGCCGGTGCGCCAGTCGGCATTTGGGCTTTCTGCGGACGTGCGTGCCTGTGTGTGGAACAGCCTTGATGCTTTGCCGTCCTTTGAAGCATTTCACTTTTTCGATGGTCAAGCTTCACGAAACCTTGTGAAATGTGTCGATCGAATAAAAAGAAAGCCTTTGTCTGTTTTTCTACAAAGAACATCAAATAAAGTGGACATTTTATGACTTTTGTTGACAAAGTGTGCGTGTATGATGTTGGGCGTGTGTGTTGGTGCGCAAGTGCGATTGTGCGTATGGGCCAGATTAGCGCAGGTTTCGTGCCACGCTCACGTGTCTGCGGAAGGCCTCGTCGTGGCCATTGGTGATGCCGCTAATACATTAAGTGGAGATTAACTCCACTTGGTATGCGCGTGTGTGTGTGTGTGTGTGTGTGTGTGTGTGTGTGTGCAGAACGGGCGTCACGCGGGCTGTTCATGGCCGGATGCGGCCGTGTGACAATGAAGGACTTGTTTGCGGCTACTGTTACGTCGCAAGGTGGCGGGAACGCAAACGTTCCCGAGTGACGAATTTGGGAAGGTTTCCTTGTGTTCATGTCCCAGCAATTAGACACGTCCCATCTTCGTCGGGCCGCCACGTTCACACACGCCGACTTCTTCAACCGCCACACGCACGCACGCAAGCGAGCCCAGAGTGATTGCTAATCACTTTGCCGGCACCGACGTGAAAAAGAGCCGTGAAAAGAAGTGAAAAGAGGCTTTTAGGACACATTACTTAAGCCCTCACTGTCCTAGTTGGGTGTGTGTGTATGTGTGTGTGAGAGAGAGAGAATCTAAGCGCAAGTGGTTGTTTGCGATTGGCTGGTAGCGACCAGTTCCGAGTGGAAGCCACTTCTTGTCGCCAGTTAGTCGCAGGGCCGAATGTCACGTCGGGTCGGATGCGAGCCCGTCAAGCGCATTTTTGCCTTCCGTGTGAGCGGCAAACAAGCGCAAGGCAAAGTCGCGCGGTTGTTTTGAAGACGCAATTTGGAGCACAGCAACGACGTGTTGGCATTTGCACCTTTTCTCCACGTTTGACTGGCGGATGTTTCCCGACGTTGTCACCACAAGAAAACGTCAAGCCGGTGGCTGTTAGCCGAGCTGCTGCTGTCGTCAGGGGCGACCGGCGTCACCATGACGACACGGCAGCCAGAGAAACGAGAGGTGGGGAGGGGCGACGTCACCCGAAGAGTTTGGGGGGGGGGGCAGCGGTCCCCAAACTTTTTCCTGTGAGGGCCGCATAAGCTTTGCTTCTGGGGGGGGGGGGGGGGGGGGGGGGGGGTGCGCCTGTGTGTCATCGTGGGTGTAAAACAAGCAGCCCGTCACGCTAACTTCATGAAAAACGACACCCAAAACAGACATTCGTGTCGATGTGTGTGAGGGTGTCCATACATGCCAGGGGGAGGGAACTGAGGTTCCTCGAGGGCCATATGCCGCCTGTTTTCGACCCCCCCCCCCCCGACTCCAACACACCTGACTCAAACAATCGGCTCATCAGCAAGCTCAGTCGAAGCCTGAAACGAACGCGATCAATTGAATCGGGTGCGTTGGAGTCGGGAGAGCTCGAAAACGGGCGGGAGGTGGCTCTCGAGGGGTCCGAGTTCCCCCCGATAGACGCCACATCAGCCTGTTCCGTTTGCGTCTTTGAGCACGCGCATAAAAAGAGTCACACAAGGTTGCGCCCACGGAGGCGCGCCAAGGTTTCGCAAGCGTGGCCTTGTGCGTGCTTGCGTGCGTGGGGGTTTCCCGCGCGCGGGTGGGACGCGTCGTCGCTTTGCTTTTGTGATTGGGGCTCTTTGGTCGGAGGGTGCGCTTGAGACGGCGTGAACGGAGGGGGGGGGGTTGCGGGCGGCCATCTTGGAAGAAGACGCACAGACGTGATTCGCCTCTGCTAACTTGTCGTCCGTATTTGCTCTCCTTCTGCCCCCCCCGCGGAGTCCTCTGCTCTCTCTTTGCAGCAGTCGACATTGATTCCATATCGGAGGAGTCAATGCGGGCTCAAGGCCTCCACGAATAGCTTGTTGGCCTCGGCCGGGGGCGGACGGCCCAAAGGCATCACGCGTATCCCAACAAACGGGGCGACGATGAGGACGTTTCCCAACAGTGGGTGGAGCCTATCAAGGCTCTTCCGCTGTGGGCGGGTCACCTGTCAGTCAAACTGTCAGGGGCTTGCCTGGAGATTTGTCAGAGGGCTGGCCAAGTTGGCTGACCGCACACATCCATGGCAATCTCGTACCCGAGAAGTCAGCGTCTGTCGTAGCATCCGCAGGCGGGCGTCCATGAAATCCGACGCACGGCAGGCAGTCCACGATGACGCATTGTTGGGCAGCGCCAGTCGAAAGCCGAAAGCCACGTTTGGCTGCGCCTGCCCCCACCTTGGCTTTTGTGAGCTTTTACTGCAGTTCAGAAAAGCGGGCAACGGACGGATCCTTTTGGTACGGTCCGGCTTGCCACCTCAAAACCTGCCGGTCAAATGTCAGCGGCAAAGATGGCCGATTCCCACCCAATGTTTTTCGTTCATCGCGACGCATTTTGCCCTTCGGCAAAGCTTGGTGGGGGATGCTCTCGTTTTCGGCTTCTTTCCGATTTGCACGCCGCAAATGAAGGCGTCTCGTCCGAGCGATGTCAAAGAACAGAAGAGGTTTGGCGCTCATCAGTTGGCCTTTTTGCTTTCTGGCCTCGTGACTGTCAGCTCCCAGTTCACGCAGCTGCACTCTTTGTTGGGTGGGTTGCCCATTCAGCCAGCAGGTGGACATAGGAAAAAACTAACTAAATATATCATTATAATATATCTCTCTCTATTTTTTTTGAATCATCTGCATTTTGATGCGGCAAGTGTGGACTTTGGGCCGCTGCCACAGGGTGAAAACGGAGGGACACACGCACGGCGTTTTGGGGACCGTTGGCCAGCTTGGGGAAACTCTGCCATGACATTTGTCAAGCCGCGTCAACTTGGCGAGGCCGTTTTGGGCTTCGGAGCAAACGGCCGAGAGACATCCGAGAGCCGCACATTTCGCCGACCTTCGCGCGCCACGCCGACGGCGGCTCTCCGGCTCGGTTCGGTTCATCTGCCGGCGAGGCGGCGAGCTGAACGGGGACGCTCACGTCGCATTTGGGGGCCGCCGTTCGCTTGCCATTTGAAAGGGTGAGAACGGCCCTGCGGCCCCGCCCCCCTTTTCTTAGTCAGCCCGATGCTTTGCTCCCATTGTTCGCTCGTGCACAGGCGCAAACAATGGCGTCAATGGAGAAGCCACGGTGGGAGGCGCGAGGGGGAGGGGGGGCGGGCCTCGGAGGGGGGATGACGAGGGGGCGACACTTTGTCGTCTCCAGATGAATTCTTCTTCTTGTTTATTTTTAGCGCGCGCGTCCGAGAAGATTACAACCCCCCCCCCCACACCTCCCATCGTCCATATGGACAGAACGTTCAAAATTGTTGAGGGGCGGGGCCTCGGGTGGTCTTCATCGTTGCTAAGGGCAACCAAGGGAGCCATCCCATGCGTGTGCAAGTAGGGCTTGCCCATGTCCTGCTGTACGACCCCTCGCACCCATTGAGAGACACATGAAGGCGGGAGGGAGGGAGGGAGGGAGGCAGGGAGAGGGGCACAGACGTGTAAGAGGGGAGGGAGGAGGGGGGCAGCGGCAGAGAGAGAGAGAGAGAGAGAGAGAGAGAGAGAGAGAGAGAGAGGACGTCTGGGCGGATTTGGCGCCGGTGGCGTCTTTGGCAGTCCAACACACACCAAGCTGCTTATTAGCGAGCGAGCTCCCAAACGGATTTATGCGCACGGAAAGCAGGTGAGTTTGGCGCTTTTATTTTTCCGCCGCTCATCTTTGCGGCTCGCGGTACCGCCTCAGCCGGGCAGGTGAGGCGAAAGGTCCTCCGGGACCTCCTCCGGGGCGACAAAGCAGATCAACGGGGGGATGCTGAGGCTGGGGGCAGGGTGGGGAGGGTCTTTAGCATGGCAGAGAGGCACCATCAAACGGTGATGGGCCGGCTGGCGGGCGACGTTGTCGTCTGGAGATGTTTGGCCCCAGATCGTCGCCGTTTGTGTGCGTGCGATGATTTTGCTGGCTTTTTGGAACGGTCCTCATCGACCGCCGCACGTGTGCAGCGCTCGGTCATACATGCGCGCGCGCGCACTTGTTTACACGCCTCGACCATAAAATGCAAGGGAAAAAAAAATGTTTTTTTTCCATTTTCTCCGACCAAAGGATGGAATTGTGGAATGAAATTTGAATGCGACTTGCTGGACTTGAGCTTCGGCTGCAAGCGTGCGCGCGAGACAAGGAGGCTGCTTGTTGGCGATTTGGCGCTTCACTTGTTTTGTTCAATGAGAAATTCAGCGGGAGCCCCCCCATCCCCCCCAAAGCCTCTTCCCGCCCATTTTGCGCCCCCTCATCCATCCGTCCTCGCTCATGTGTGTGTTTTTTGGTTTGGCTGTTTGGGGTTTGTGTGTGTGAGAGGTTTTTTTTTGGGGGGGGGGCAGGGGTTAATAATATTGTTTGGGTGGAGAACATTTGGACTTGGATGGTGCGTGCAGAGCCGTCGCAAGCCTGGATGGAAGCCTTTGGCCCTCCCCCACTGCGGTGTCACCTCTTATTGAGAAGCCCGAGTGATACGCAAGGGTCACGGGCCAACACGGCGCATTGAGCAATTCACCAATTTGTTTTGGGGGGGGTTGGTGGGGTCGGGGGGGGGATGCATTCTGTGCTGTGGCGGAGCAAAGCCATCGAAATCGGCTTTGCCTTCAATGCAATTCATCGGAAGCCTTTGCGGACAAAACTGCAACGTGTCCGGCGGTTGCGCGATTCAAGCCGGCGGAGATTTCCAGAAGGAGGCCACAGTCATGTTCCGCACACGCACAAACATACGCACAAAAACAACTCGTGTTCCATCCTTTGTGCGAAAGGAAAGCAAAGAAAGCGGTGCAAGCGCGCAAAGTGTTGGAACGAGTGTACCTGATGTATTGTCCTTCCTCCTTCTCCTTCTGTGGTATCCGCTTGTGTCGCTGGCGCGCCGGCGCCACCGGCTGGTCCGGTCCTTCCACCGCAAGGAGACCAACGTGACGTATGCGAGCGCCCTCGTCGCTCACAAAGTTTTGCTCAAGACCATCAACGGTCTCGTGACGTTTCGTATCTCCAAGGCCTCGTCAGTCGAGGCGCTCGTCTTTCAGGGTGCCACCATCTTACTTTTAACTTCGGGGGGGGCGGGGGGGACCGCAAGGAGACCAACGTGACGTATGCGAGCGCCCTCGTCGCTCACAAAGTTTTGCTCAAGACCATCAACGGTCTCGTGACGTTTCGTATCTCCAAGGCCTCGTCAGTCGAGGCGCTCGTCTTTCAGGGTGCCACCATCTTACTTTTAACTTCGGGGGG